CAGTTTTAAAGCCCTATCGCGTTCATTATTTTATTTTATATCCTCAATAACTCTATCATGTAAATGAAACAATATGATCAGGCATATTTTCAGATGTAGAAATAAAGGTACAGATTAAGGACTTGATTGAGGCTTTAAAACCACTTATAAAGTCAAAGCCAGATGATCTAACTGTGAGTCCAGACCAATCCCAACATAACTCAGTGAGCCCTGAGGTGAGTGAGAAATGAATCTGCTAAATTATGCCTTTTGATAATCTTGTCCCTGGGCAATCTTGGGTATTATTTTCATCAGACCTATTGTCTTACCCCCTGTGCGCTGCATGTATTTAGGAGTGGGGTCAGCTCCAGGTGAAATCCAGAGTTTGTTCTCTCTCTCCTCCACCTCCCTCTAACCTGAAAGAAAGCTGTGTTGGAAGAGCAAAAGCTTTGGATTCAGGCTGACTTTGAATCAGGCTGACTTGGTTTCCAATCCTGGTTCTAAGACTCTACAACCTCCATAAAAATACTTAACAGCCTCTGCACCTATTTTTGAATTTGAAAAAATTGTGGGTATGATACCCATTTTAGAGGGTTTTAGACTTTTTACACATGATAACAAATGCAGAACACCTAGTACAGTGTCTGGTGCGTAGTAGACATTCAGTAAGCATTGGCCTTTGTGCTTTATCCCTCTCACACTATGCTACCTCATTTGATTTAGAAGGGCAATATTGGCTCCATTTTACAGATGAGCTACAAGAAAAGTTAAGATAATTTCTTAGGGCCACACATAAGGTAAGTAAAGATGGATTTGACGCCAGGTCCCTGAATGCTTGTTGCAGACACTTTTGGTGCCCTGTGCTAATATCCCCTTAGCCTGGCTCTGATTTCAGCCATAGCTACAGTGGATGGTTCCTGCATGCAGACAACATCCCGCTTCGAGCATCCACTGTCCCATTTGTCTTGCCTCTTCTCTGCCTCAAGTCTGTTGCTACCAAGCCCCCAGGAGTTTTCTGGCAAGAGAGTTCTGGAAGTACAGAGCAGTTAAAATCTCTAAGGGCAGCCTTCACCAAGTGGGAGCTGGCTGCCCTAAGACCTTGTCTCAAACTACATCTTGGGAACTAAAGGTTTGGGTGGGAGAAGGAAGGGTTGCTTTATTTTGTTTTGTTTTCATTTGTGTTTGTACTGCATTTCTCCCTATTTCTCCATAGGTCACCAAGATGCTGGCGGTGGTTGTAATTCTATTTGCCCTGTTATGGATGCCCTACAGGACTCTTGTGGTTGTCAACTCATTTCTCTCCAGCCCTTTCCAAGAAAATTGGTTCTTGCTCTTTTGCAGAATTTGCATTTATCTCAACAGTGCCATCAACCCAGTGATTTACAATCTCATGTCCCAGAAATTCCGTGCAGCCTTCAGAAAGCTCTGCAACTGCAAGCAGAAGCCCCCAGAGAAACCTGTTAACTACAGTGTGGCCCTAAATTACAGTGTCATCAAGGAGTCAGACCATTTCAGCACGGAGCTCGACGATATCACTGTCACTGATACTTATTTGTCTGCCACCAAAGTGTCTTTTGATGACACCTGTTTGGCTTCTGAGGTAACCTTTAGCCAAAGTTGATTCGTGAATTAGAAGAAAATGGACCACAAAGTAAATGAGAATCTGTGCAGTTATCAACAAAAGATAGGAAACGGCTAACACTTGTATGTGAAGACGGATAAAATCTTTGCCAAGGCTCTAACAAGTCCTGGCCCTAGATACTTTAACCCATGAAAATAATTCAGATTTTCCTTCTTATAAAAGTAGTACCACAAAAAATGGAACAGGTCTATAAAATAGCTAAATGATGGAAACTGAAAGAGTAG